GCATGGCTTACGCAGGAATGAATGAATGGCTGGGCGCTGCCTCTTAATTTACACTTCTGTATCTCGTTGGTCTGCCCCTTTCCCATGCCCGTGGTGCACATAGTCCCATACGGTACTTGCTTGACTGGACTAGGACTGACTGGGACTGGGACTGCTGACTCAGCATGGGTGGACTCCACCACTTGCCCACTTGCCTCAGCCTAAACGTGAGCAGCTTCAAAAGGCCAGTACCAGGACCTTCCGGAAGTTTCAGTCCTGGCCTTTCGGATACTGTAGCAGCTACGACCTTGACCTTTCAGGACTGTAGCAGCTACGACTTTGACCTTTCAGAGGTCCTACAACTACGACTTCTGGAACTCCCTAAGACCACTATTCGACAGGGCTACAGATCGAACCCCTACAATCTACAGACCCTACGGCAGTCTACCAACTGTGGGAACAGACACAGGTCGTGGGTTCAACTCCTGGGGTCGACACAGGTAATGTACACAAGTAAGGTAAAGCCTAGGGATCTAGCCCTGGGATCTGCATTCGCTACTGCGAACAGGTGAATACCGTTTCACTTCCGCCGGCCTAAATTCGAGGTCCTCCGAGAATAACTCAGTCCAAGACAGGACCTTTACGTTTCCTATCTCTCTCGTAGGCTCTAACTACGTCGGGAGCTGTTTCTAGAAGTTCTGTCCTGGTAAACCAGTGGTCGTCCTCTGGTTACTGATAAGCAAACCGGACCTTATACTGTTTCTGCGGACGACCTCTACCTCCTGTTCTGAACACGTCTTCACCTACAATGCCTTCAATGTCGTACCTTCCGTCCATGTCTGGGGGTATCATAGATCTTCTAGAGGGAAACTGTTGACTTTTGACACATGGCAACAACTTTGACGCATGAAACACAGGGTAGGTGTGGAGGTGTGCTGGGATCTCTATGGTGTAGGACGGCCCATCCTCTCCGCCCTTTACTTCTAGAACTGGCCACGGTCCTCTATACGCGGGCAGTAACTTCTGCGAGATGTTTTCCTCAGGAGCAAACTATTTGGACTCGACCCAGACTAAGTCGCCTACTTGGAACTGCGATGGGTGACGGTGCTTGTTGGCTTGCTCTATCATTCTGTGCTGGGCCTTCCTGAGGTTCTCGACGATTGTAGCTAGCTCTTTCTCGTGCTGTACCGCAAACTCCCTGGTACCGGGCGGTAGCCTGTGAATCTGGTCCCGGTTAAGTCCCTCAAACGGTTACGCGGTCTAAAGGACTTATGTAACTCGTTGGGAGTGCGACAAGTGGACAAGTGCACGCTGTTGTTATACGCACTGGCTACCTTGGGCAACATCTCGTCCCAATTGACTTGATCGGGTCTAATGTACATGCGCAGAACTTGCTGCAGGATCTTGTTCATCTGTTCAGTCTGACCGTTAGTCTTTGGATGACGGTCAGATGACATCAGCAACTTTGACCCATAAACTCTCATCAGTTCCTGCCAGTTCTGACTCGTGAAACGGGTATCTCTATCACTAATGATGGACAATGGGACTCCATGCTCACTAACCCAAAAAGCGAAAAACTTCTGAATGACTAGCTCGGTGCGTGCCTCCACAGGCGAAGGAACAAAAACAACATACTTACTTAATCTATCAACTATGACCATGCCTACTCTTGGCTCTTACCATGCCTACTCTTGACGCCGGCGTTCATAAAGTCAATGTTCATTGAATCTCCTGGCTGATCAGGAATAGGCAAAGGTCTGAGAAGACCTAGAGGGGCACGCGTAGTAGTCTTGTCTCTCAGGCATACCTTGCAACTGCGGACGTACTCTATGCAGTCAACTTTCATTCCTGGCCAAATGTACGCATGCATCAGATTGGCTAGAGTCTCTTGCCAACCGAAATGTCCCTGTGTGTCGTGGCATTCCCCTAGGATCAAACTACGGATCTCCTCGCTGTTAGGAACGCACAGACGGTCTACTACATCGGTCTTATTGAACAGTAATCCTTCCGTAATGCGGTAATGTGGTTCGGTCTCTGGGGCCTCCTTAACTCTCTTGAGGAGGTCACTATAAATAGGATCATGCGCATACACCTGTCTTACTCTCTCCTGCAGGTCACTCCCTATATCCAGATAGTGAACTATGGCTCCAAAGTAGTCTGATCTCCTACTTAGAGCATCCGCAACTACATTGTACTTGCCCTTAACAAGCTTGAGCTCGAAGTCGTACTGGTCTATCTCAGCGGCCCACCTAGTCAACTTAGGTGTCATATTGGCCTGTGTCTTCAACCAATAAGAGTCTCGTGGTCTGAATACACCTTGAAGTGCCTCCCAAGCAGGTAATGCTTCCAGTGCTCTAAGGCCTGCCTGAGAGCGTAGAGTTCTCTCTCGTACGTCGAGGTAGCTACCTTTTTTTGAGGGCATTCTCTCTGACATGAACTCTACGGGTCTGTAGCCATTGTCGTCGTCTTGCTGTAATACGGCACCTATACCATACTGACTCGCGTCCGTGGTGACGACAAATGGCAAAGACGGATCTGCTACTTTGAGGACAGGATACTCTATTAACGCGCACTTTAATTTCTTTAGCGCAGACGTACAGTCTTTATCCCACTGCCAGATTGCCTCTTTCTTGAGCAACCTGCGAAGGGGAGCGGCGATAGTCGAGAAGTTCCTCACGAACTTCCTATAGTAGTTAGCTAGGCCTAGGAACGACCGCAACTCAGTCAACGTGCGGGGCGTCGGCCAATCTCTAATTGCTGCTATCTTGCTGTCCTCAAGCTTGAATGCCATCTCCGTCAAGGACGTGGCCCAAGTACAAGACATGTGTCTTGGCCCACTCGCACTTCTTCGCATTGATCTTGAAGTTAGCCTCTCTCAACTTCTCCAAGACCCGCCTCAAATGACCCTGATGCTCTTGGAGGGTCTTACTGAATACTAATATATCTGTCTAACCACAACCTAAACAAATCGTTCATACAACGCTGGAACGTGGCAGGCGCATTGGTTAGTCCAAAGGGCATCACTATAAACTCATAGTGCCCATATCTAGTCCGGAACCAGTCTTGTATTGGTCATCAGGATGGACCTCTATGTGATGATATCCGTACTTCAGATCGATCTTCAAAAAAAATCTGCAACCCTGCACCTGATTTAAAAGATCGTCTATCCTGGGCAGTGGTTCAGCGTTCTTCACTGTGATCGCATTTAGACCCCTACACTCTATGCACATTCGTAACTCTCCTTCCTTTTTGGGGACAAGCAAGACTGGTGCTCCAAAAGGAGATGAACTGGGCTTAATCCAACCCTTTTCTAGGAGCTCGTCCAACTGCTTACGCAGCTCCTCTAACTCCCTTGGGGGCATCCTGTAGACTGCTCCCTTAGGAGTCCAACTACCAGGCTTTATCTCTGTACGATGCTGGATCGGTTGCGGCACTACTCCTGACGGCAGCGCTGCTAAATCCTTAAACTCTTCCAGCAGCTTGGCAATGGCTGGTTCTATGGGTGTATCCTCCTTAGGCTCAGTGACAGGCCTTACATAAGTTTCAAAGACCTGTTCCTCTGACAGCTTCTTTCTCACTAATCGCGCGAACGCGAGAGCACTAAGACAGCAATGTGCCAGAGAGTTGTCTACTCCTGACACGTGAAACAGACGGGCCGTCTTAACTTCGCTTGACGGATTAGGGAGTCTACACTCATGCTCTCTCAAATGGAGTGTGGCCCCTGCTGCCTCTCCCCAGTCCATGCCTAGGACTATGTCAAAAGGAAGGTCATCTTGCACGAAGGGAGTCAAGGAATGAAGGACTCTCTCCACCTTCCCATCCTTTTCTAGGCTTAAATACGCTTGGACTCCCTCTATGTAGTCCTCAACACGCATAGTGCGGTTGTCTGCGAGGACACTAACTATGGGGTCTTCCAACTTCTAGACTTTCAACCCAGCCTTAGCTTCTTCAGCGCTCTACGACTAACATAACTGCGAGTAACCCCTGAATCTATAAGAGCTCCTACTCTACTTCTAGAAACTTCTACATTAACTAAGACTAGTTGTCCCTTATTATCCGTCTTCATTTTGGCCCAGGCAGGCATCCTCTCCTGTAGCTTTTCTGCCACGCCTGTGAGGGAAGTGCCTAGAGAGACGCTAACACAAGCAGTCTCTGGACAGCTAGCTAGGCACCGGACTGCAACCTCTGCCGAAGGCTCATGTGGTGTGGGAGTTTTCTGTTCGTGCACGCTCGCTTCCCCACATGGCCTAGTAGTAAGGGCAGTTGGAACCCCTACCGGCGGCTGCCTTTTGACTCTAGGGCAGCCCATCGGGCCTCTCTGTACTTAGGACAATATTTTATGATATGGGCCGGGTCACCGCAATATATGCACTGACCCTGGTCCATACGCTGCTGCCATACTCGATGGTCCAGGCCCAAAATTTCCCATGGCCAGCCCGGGTGCCAGCCTCCTCTCCTCTGAGGTGATCCTCCACCTCGTCGTTGCGGGGACCGACTAGGACCTTGACGATTTGGCGGGGGACCTTGACCCCTACCTCCCTCTTGGTGATTCCTTTGGCCGCCAACCCCCTGTGCGCCCGCTCCTCGACCACCCGTGGCCTGGCCCCTTTGGCCCTGGCCTCCTCCTCTACCTTGCGGCCTCCTTCCAGCTGCGACAGCCGCATAGGTCCTCCTCTGGCCTGTACCGCTGTTTTCCTCCTCTAGCCCCCACTCGATCTGACTGTAGGGGACTTCATCTGTACCACCTTCATCTAAAGTAAGGATCAAACCTGAAATGGTACGACCTTTCCACTTTTTTCCCTTATCTAAGTACTTATGCCAGAAAGTGGAAACTGGCATGGACTTTGCCGCAAACAGGACCACTTCTCTACTTAACGCATCGTACGTCATATTGTTGGGTCTTATCAAAGAAATGCCTTTGCAGGGGCTCTGGCATGGCACGATAAAAGAATTGGACCAACTGGGTCTCAGTGACCCCGTGGTCTGGGACGGCTACCAAGTCGTCCACGACAGCTTTGAGTGCTCGCGCACTCCTCCGCTGTCGTGAGTGGATGGTCTGAAGCTTGTCGTGGGCCCTGACGCCCCTTGTGACGTCAGCGAACCTCTCTCGTAGGAGTTTGAGGAAAGTGGAAAGAGGGGTTAGCCTAGAGTATGCAACCATATTGTTTTCACAATCGGCTGCGCGTGCAAGGGACCTGGCAAAGCTGGCCGCGTCATCTTTCAGTGCATGGAAGGCCACAAGGACTTGTTCCTCGGGAGTGATATGTTGTAGATACACATACGTGTTGATGCTGGCCTCCCAGTTATCAAAATTGTCGTCCTTCTTCCCGCTATAAGAGTTAGGAAATTTGAGCTTAACAGGCTCTTTGCGGGGACGCGTTTCGGCCTCGGCCGTGGCCACTACCTTGGCGCCTTCAATGGCGCCTGCGCAGAACTGCTCTGCGCCTTCCTTCAATCTCTTTACTTCGGTCCTGACATGGGTCACCACGTCGCGCCTTTTTCTCCCTTCCCTCTCTCAGGATGGCGGCGAATTGCTCCTCCGGAGCCTGGGTGTAAGGGATAATACTCTTCCCACCACGTGTCGGAGGTGGGCAATTTTTTTTTTTCCTAACCCTCGACCCAACCCGCCCAATTTTTTTTTTTCCCCATCCACCCTGCCCAAGAATTTTATTTTTTACTCTTAGACAACCCCACCCACCCAGAATATTTTTTGATATTTCAGCCCCGTGCCCGATCCGCCCATGACCCGAAAAAAGCCCTCACCCACACCCGCCCGCACCCGTAAGAGTATCATCACCCGCCCACGTCCAATACCTAAATTTTCTTCACCCGCACCCACCCGCATCAGCCCGTGCCTGCCCATGCCAGTCCCTTACACCATCACGGTTTCATCGGCAACATAGCGTTGCAACAAAGACATCTAAAATCCTATTATTCAAACAACGGCAACATCAGACTCGTCTTCTTTTCCACTTCACATACATGCAAACAGACGGCGATTCATGCTGGCGCAGAGCGCCCACTCAAAGCTCAGAGATATGGACAACGAGAACACAGTTCAGTTGCAAATTCACTTCAACAGGCTATGGCGCACTAGCGTCTGTACATCCCACTCTCCTCACTGTGTCTGACACCACTACTTGCACATGCTCACTCTGGATCACCCTGAATACTCCACACACACACACTCTATCAGGTACCTCTACCCTACGGCGGCTATGGCAACTCGCCACTACTACTATGGCTACGATCTCCCTTCAGCCCACTTCGTCTTCGGGCAACCTGTAGACCACCTTCGCACAAGACGTTGTGGCAGCGCTTCCGCATGGCTTACGCAGCGAATGAATGAATGGCTGGGCGCTGCCTCTTGATTTATACTTCTGTAACTTGTTGGTCTGCCCCTTTCCCAGGCCCTTGGTGCACACAGTCCCACACGGTACTTGCTTGACTGGACTCTGACTGACTGGGACCGGTGCCGCTGACTGCATGGGTTTGTACTGCCAACTCGATGCAGTCGCACTGCGGACGTAACACAATTGGCTCACCACTTGCCCACTTGCGTCTGACTAAAGGCCCACCACTTGCCCACTTGCCTCTGACTAAACGTGGGACACTTCGAAAAGCCACTTTCGGACCTTCCGGAAGGCTGTGGACTTGGCCTTTCGGGTACTGTAGCAGCTACGACCTTTACCTTTCAGGGCTGTAGCAGCTACGACCTTGACCTTTCAGAGCATCTACAGCCACGACCTTTACAGAGTTGTGACTCCTAATCGACAGACCTACAGATCAAACCCCTACCGCTACACGGACCTACGACAGATGACAAACAACTACCAAAACACAGATCACGGGTTCAAACACTCAGGGGTCGACTCGGTACTGTACATGGGCAAAGTGAGGTATGGGGATCGAACTCNTACGACAGAGGACAAACAACTACCAAAACACAGATCACGGGTTCAAACACTCAGGGGTCGACTCGGTACTGTACATGGGCAAAGTGAGGTATGGGCAAGATTTTTTTTTTTTTGCCTAGGGGCAGCTGCACTGCTTTCGCACCGGCGTTACTTCATCGGGACCTGGTCAACTGAATCAGACACTTTTTTATTTGGCTCTCAACCTCAAGCCCGACGTATTACACAAGGAAGGGGGGCGCATAATTTTTGGGTCATCCTGGGTGTATGGGGCGGGACCCAGGCCAAGCCATCACCCGCCTGCCACCCACCCAGCGGGTGACCCAAGTCAAATCTTCACCCGCCCGTCACCCAGAAAGGCATGCTGGCTGCACCCGCCCATAACCCACCCAAGACAGCTCATGTAGACCTAAATCCGACCCATCACCCTGTGGGTCGGTGCAGGTGAGTGCAGCTCTAGGCGCCCGGTGCCCAGCTCTGCCACGTGTGTCAACCATGGTGTTAGGTGCACAACCGGGCAACGGTTCCACTCCTCACCACTTAGACTCTACCCCCTTAACAGACAAGACCTACTGACTCAATCTAAACACAGAATCCGGACAGGATCCTGCCAACTAGGGTCACTAGCCTGGACCTAAACTATGGCTGTCACTACAGGACCTGTTGCTGATCAGGAGGCATTTAAGGAGATCCCCCGTAACTCCTCAGGAATTCTTTAACGTCGCAGACAGGACGACGTGATCAGCAGGTCCTCTCAAGACTTAGACGGCCTGTTGTGCAGCCCACAGCTCGGATTTTGGGCCTACCGTGCCACACCGAGCAGCCCACCGGTCAGTACCGGTCCTTGGGAGGGTTCGTGTCCTTCGGGACAGTCGAGTCGTCAGACACAGTCTTTAGCCCTACTCAGCCCGTGTGGGTTTGGTCAACAAGGCCCTATCCTTCATCCACAGAGTCCTATCACCTGGACATAAGAGACTCGATGCAGAAAGAAGAGACAGACAGACTTGACTCAGCAAGTACCACAGGGTTTGTGCACATCCATAGCGCGAGGGGATAGGCTGAAGGCTTGGCGAGATTATACCGGCTCCAGCTTGGTCAAATTCG